AATAGACTGTTCATGTATAGTAATTGTAATCTTAATTGATCTCACAATAAAATCCACGCGTGTATCGCAACTTAGCCTTTAAAAAAAAAAAAAAATATATATATATATAATATTTTTATTATAGTAGTATATTTTAAAAATTAAAATATTAAAAGTATAAATTTATTTGTATTTATTAGATGAATATTTATTAAAAAAATATTAAAATTATATATATATATATATTCAAAAAATAATAAATTAAGATACAAAATATTTTTGTTCATGTAGTATATATTAAAAATTGATTTTTAATATTGATTTTTTAATATAAGTCAAATATTTTTTTAATTACAAAATATTGAATAGTAAAATAAAATAAATATAATTAAATAAATTATTGTTATTTTAAAATTATTTGAAATCAATATAAATCAATTTGTTAAAAAGATTAGATCTTAAAATTGTATTTTTTAAAAAAATTTGTATATACTAAGTAATATTTTTATATTATTGATATATAATAAATTTAATAATAAATTATTTAGGACTATAATTAAATAAGAATAAATTATAATTACTGTACTTATTTGTTTAAATTATAATAAATACAATGAATTTATCATTTCTTTTTTTTTTAAACAATACATAGTTTAAATAATTAATAATTATCTTTATTTACAAATTGTGATGATAACAATATTATTAGGTTATATTTTAATAACTTTGTTACGTATATTAGTATAATTAATAAATAATTTTTTTGTTCCTAAAACAATTACTATAAATTTAATAGGATATCATAATCTAATTAAATTATTTATTCACGTCCTATTTTTATTGTTGTTTTCACTTGAAATAATAATCGATAAAATTCTTTACCATTTAATAGTTTCTTAGTATATACAGTAAATACATTTAAAAAAAATCAATTAAAATAGAAAAATAATTTGCAAATATATAATTATTTGTTTATGAATTTTCATTAAATGAGTTTGTATTATATTATATACTGTATATATTTTTTGATTCTAATAAAGTTATGTCACATTAAGAAGTTACCAGATTCAGGATTCAGATGTGAACTTAATTGTCAGACAGTTAACCGTCATTAAGCCCAAACCAATATATATTTGGTGTTAAAAAAGTTCGGATTCACCTGTGTTGACAAATAGATAATTTTTATCAATTAGAGTTTTTTATTTTAAATCTATTTCGAATAGGTTATAAATATATATAATTGAGTTATAGGAACCCTAATACAGAATTTTTCCCGAAACTCCCAAAATTCGAATATTTGGATTTATTTTTTTGGTCCGATGATGTCGCGGCATTTTTTGAATGAGATGATCCATAATCACTAGATAATCTTCTCTCTCGTAGCTTATGAGCAAATGATATTGCATTGGGGTTTTTTACTGGAATCGAATATGATCGACTCGATTCAGGCTCATCAGATTCCAATGGTAATTGATATTGAGCTATGGCAACTTTGTTAAAATTGATTTCTTTGAATTCAGAGACGGGTGCATTCACAGATCTTAGCATAGGCCCATCATATGATAACTTTCCGAATACAATAGATGATGCAGAGAAATTTTGTGTGACACCACGACAAAGAGAATACAAAGTTTGGAATGATACCGAATCGCGCCCGGCATACATATGGGTTCGACCATCTATTGAATTTCTTGTCGCTTCTTTTTCATCTAACAATGCGTAGCCTGGCTCCATTGCCTGCATTAGGTGCTCTTCATTGACAAAGGGTAAGATTGCTTTGTAATGGAGAGTTTTAAATACTTTTGGAAAATATTCCTGAAGAGGTGAATTGGGATCTGTCAACAAAGAGCGGAAGGGTAGTGGAACAAGGTAGCTGGAGTTTGGCGGTAAGATACAAATCAATTGATCAAACGGTCGCATGGGAGTATCAGCATTGAATCTTTGATCGAATCCGTGCGCTTTAACATGCTTCAAAATTTCTGGAATAGTTGGTGGTCTATGATGCGGGTAAAAATACCTCCAGCTTGGACAATCTCCGTAATAATATTGAAATGACCAGCAAATAGTTTTTAGATAATCATTCGCTCTCTTAGAAATATTGTTTTCGTCATTAATATTTTCAGATTCTGATCTCTTGCCTTTTCTCATAGAACCTGGTTTCTTTAGCGAAAGATACTTTATGAATCTAAGAAGATTTTCGACATTTATTCCTGCTCCTTTTTTTGTTATGTATCTCTTCTCATTTGCAAAGTAAGAATTATAAGCTGAGAAAAGCATATCAACTCTCGCCTCACCTAAATGAGTTAGTCGCGGCAAAAAGTCATTACCAAGAAAATTGGCGATGCATACAAAGTCCTCTATGATGTTATCTTCATCAATTTCCATAGATGTTTGTTGAACCATGTCATGGATAATGTGTTTGCGAAGTGTGTTTATATTGAGGATAACATCCTTCCCTTCAAGCCCAGGTCGTAAGATACGAAGGTTGGGTTCGTGTGTAAGTAAAGCGTACATTATAAAATCTGCATCTCCTCCACAGACTACATGTCGATATTTAGAATTGTATTCCGGATGACTGCGTTGTGCATTTAAAAACCTAAAAATCTTGTGTTCTCCTTCTCCAGCTACACTGGAATCATTGAATATAATTTGAAGATTTTTAAATCTACCATTTAGTCGCTGATAAATATAATACTTGATTGCATCGTTCGCCACTTGCATGAATTCAGTTCCTGCAGATATCGACACATTATCAACAGGAACAAAGAAACCATCCTTCGACTTTTCTGACTCATTTGTCAGACTCGTACTTCCCGTATCATAAACAACCTCGTCGGAACTAGGTCGAGTTAAAAATCTTCTAGATCTTTGTTCATTCATTTTTGCTCGAGGCGCAACACCATCCATCGCGATGTACACAAGTACTTGTGGATTGCTGATATTAAGTGCCACGTCCATTTCTGCAAAAACTTTTGATAACATGCCCCGAGAGGTCAACTTTTTTTGTTTATTCGCTGTTTTTTTACGAAGGGCTACATGGAAAAATGCATTTATGTCCAAGTATAGAAAATCAGTTTTGTTTCGAGGAGATCTTTTGGCTTCTTTTACAATATGTGGGTATCGCAAAGATAGCCAACGAAAAAAGCCCGGTATTCCCATCGGTAATAGAATTATGAGAAACCGCAATCGAATTGATTGCAATTAAATTCAAAAATACAAACCAATCAGAAATTACAATGTACAATCAGAAACCGCAGTACGCTGTACGATATAAAATGCATGTAATCATTATACAGTGTACTACTGTATTTAAAAATAAAAAAATTGATATACAGTATCAATTGAATTAAAGATAAATATTTTATTTACAAGAATCATGGTATGTTTTAAGAATAATTTATATAAAAAGTTATATTTAATATTAAATAATTAATATTTATTTAAATTTAATATATTATTATAAATATAAATTGAATAATAAAAGAATTTAATATAACAATTATTATTTATATAGAATATTGTTATAAATTTTGAATTTATTTAATTTTTTAATTTTTTAATTTTTTATAGTTGTTATTATTAAAAAATTTTAAATTATATTTAAAATTTTTTTTCAAATATTCAAATGAAATAATAGTTTTTGTTTTTATTTTAAATTTTTATTTAATTATTTTTAATATATATATAATTTAATAATTCAATAAAATATTTTATAAACAATAAATTAATTTAAAAAAATGTTTAAAGAAAATATTTAAAGAAAAATAAAGAAAAACATATATAACAGATACAGGGTGATTCAAAATTTTTTGAAAAAAATAATTATTTTTTACTTTATAAATATTATATTAATTATAATTTTTA